AATTAATTCCCAGTAAAGTGAAGGCAAACACCAGCCAGCTCTTATAAGACTGTGGACAGTCTCCTGGGGTTGCAAATCTCCTCACAATGCAGGCATGTACAACATCATCCTTTACTTCTGCTCCTCTGAGGTCAAATTTGGGAAGGTGCATAGCAGAGTTTATTTCATTATATATTAACAATTTAGTGCCAGAGGTTAAGGACACTCCAACAGTGACATCATTTTTCTAGCTTGACCTGAACCAGTCAGAATACCCCTGACCACCTCCTTTTTCCCTAGAGTAGGGGAGACTGATTCTACAGGTAACCAATATCTGGAAACAAGATTTGTTCACCACTAGTGGAACTGGTGTTGAAGAAGTCAGGAAATTAACAGCAGGGTACTTGTAGTGAGTGGAGTTAAATCCAGTTAGTGGCCAATCACAAGTGGTGTTCCCCAGGGAACACTGGGGCCAGTTCTCTTTACTGTCTTTGTCAATTATCTGGAAGAGAGGATTGAGTGCACCCTCAGTAAGTTTGCAGATGACAGTAAGTAGGGAGGAAGTGTTCATCTGCCTGAGGGTAGGAAGGCTCTGCAGAGGAATCTGGACAGGCTGGATCAATGGGTTGAGGCCAACTGGAAGAGGTTCAACAAGGCCGAGTGCTGGGTCACACTTGGGTCACAAAAATACCCAGACAATGCTACAGGCTTGGGGAAGAGAACCTGGAGAGCTGCAGAGCAGAAAAGGACCTGGGGGTATTGGACAACAGCCCACTGAATATGAGTCAGCAATGTGCCCAGGTGGTCCAGAAGGCCAACAGTATCCTGGCTTATAACTGAAACAGTATGGCCAGGAGGACTAGGAAAAGGGCCGCCTTCCTGTACTGGGCACTGCTGAGGCCACATCTCAAATCCTGTGTTCAGTTTTGAGCCCCCCACTCTAAGAAACCCATCAAGGTTCCCATCAAGCGTGTCCAGAGAAAGGCAATGAAGCTGGTGAAGAATCTGGAGCACAAGTCTTATGAGGAGCAGCTGAGGGAACTGGGGTTGGTTAGTCTGGAGAAGAGCAGGCGGAAGGGAGACCTTATTGCTCTCTGTAACTATTTTAAAGGAGGCTGGAGTGGGGTGGGAGTTGGCCTCTTCTCCCAAGTAACAAACGATAGGACAAGAGGAGCAGGCTTTGGATTGTGCCAGAGGAGATTTAGATTGGATCTTTGGAAAAATGTATTCACTTAAAGGGTTGTCAGGCACTGGGACAGGCTGCCCAGGGATGTGTGGAGTCACCACACACCATCCACAAGGGGATATTTAAAAGATGTGATGCTTAGGGACATGGTTTAGTGGTGGACTTGGCACTGCTAGATTAACAGTTGGACTTGATGATCTTAAAGATATTTTCCAACCAAACTGATTCTATTATTCTATTCTATGATTCTAATTTCCATGTTACTTCCAGCATAGGTTTTACTTATGAATCAGTTGTTCATTCATAATTAATACAGTCTTTTCATTTTTCTAAGCTTTCAGAACCTTACCAGAATGTTAAAAGTATGCCAGCAAATACACTGCTGCTTATTATGCCAGTTGTCTGAGATGTGTCTCTGTCTAGAAGTTACTGCTCAAGCCCAGCACAAAGTCAGTGAGAAGGATCCAGTGACATTCAACAGGTTTTTAGTCTCAACTCTCATGTCTCTTCCTGTGTCAGCAGCTCCAAGCTCTAGCATCACACTCAGCTACAGTTCTTACTCCTTGCTCTTTAAGGAGCATAAATAGGAGCAAGTAAGATGCAGCAGGAGCTGATTTCAAAAAGACATGTACTTGGGCAAATACACCTCCTTTGATACATGTGCCTTCCCCACCATATTACTTCTCATCAGAACAGAGGCAATTATGCTGCTTTAAAGATGACTCTTAAAAGCACTAAAGGCTTTTACCAGTTCTCAAGTACTTTTCCCTAACCTATCCAGGTCTGAAAAACAAAGTCAACTTTGAACTGAATCCAAAAGACAATCAAGCACCAAATGTCAAAGCAATTTTACAAATCAGAGTAATGTGGGTGATAAGGCAAGGAAGAATAAAAGCAGATTCAGCTATCTGTTTACAAATTAAAAGTTTCACCTCCAATGCTTTCTGATCCACTTTAGGTTTGGAAAGCCAGAGACTAGCTTTGGGTATCAATACAAATCCTGTATCAAAATTAGGTTATGGCTAAGATATCTTCTCCCCACTGCAAAGACTTTCAATGCTCTCTCAGATAGAGGTTAACTAGCAACATTGTTCAGAAATCAGTCACCCAGAACAGCCTTCCAAATATCTAACATATTACCACAGCCATAAATAAAAGGAGTAATGTTTCCAGACAAATTCATGTATATCTGTAAGAAAGCAATCCTGCAAACTCCTTTAAAGAAATCCAGTAGGAATCCAAAGGATTAACTTTGTTGGTATTTTTTTTTCCGCCTTTTTGCTTTGGTTTTCTTTTTTTACAAGGGAGAGAACAGAAAGTAATAAACACAGAACTTCTTTAACTAGATATGTACACTTCAAGTTAATTTTTGGTCTGATGACACCAAATCCCTTCAGGAGATGGGACAGGTGAATCTATTGACTGGAGTTGTATTTTCTTTCCCTGTGACTTATTAAATTAAGTTAAATAAAGCTGCAGCTTTCCCAACACTAACACCAGGAAGGCTTAGGATCTTCAGCAGTGCTCAGAAGTACCCCTCCATTGGCTTGCTTTTCATTTTCACATCTTTGAACATTTAGTCTAATATCAGCAGGA